TTTTAGTATCATACCTTTATTTGTAAGGGATGAGGAACATGAGTATCAAAATTCAAATTTTAAATATAATAAAACTTTGTACTTTTAAATAAATAGACATTAGGCATTAGAAACATTATTACGAAATGCATAATTGCATAATGTCACAAAGTAACTTGACAATCAAAGTTTCAACGTCACAGCTGTACCTATGCTTTTATCAATTGAGATGTAGAATTGTGCTGCAGCTGTGTCCTAGTCGGTTCGTTGTGTTCAATTTGTATTCAAAACTTTCGTGCTTTACACACAGACAAGTATCTCGATCCCTTTTTGTAGGTTGCACTACCCAATAAGGCTTCTCTCTCAAAAGTATCGTATAAGATACTCGAATTCCAGTCTCAGCACCACAAAATTGAGAATGCAAATTTTTAACAGTTTCTGGAAGCAACCGCTTTTGTTTATTTCCCTTGAGGCAATCTTTCTTACCAGGACATATTCTCCTGACATCGACACTGTCAAAAAACTTTTGAATTTCATCACGAATCTGATTAGTGATTAAATACATTGGACGCCTCCGAATAGATATTAAAATGTTGTCACTATATTTATTTAGCTAAAATATTTAACATCATCTTTTTGTTTCAGTCTATATTTGTAAGATTTTTTGCTCCATGGGTTTCTCTGTTTTCTCATCTCTTTCAGCGATATCACTAACAGTCTCAGCTTTCTTTTCAGCTTTAATTCTTTGGTAATATTCCCTATCTTTCAGTCTCTTCATCTATTGTTGCTCAGGTGTCACATGTTATCAATCTTGCGTTTTCGTGCATTATCATTTTCACGAATTTCGAATTCTTATTATATTCATTTTTAGATATTGTTTTCAATGTTACTTGTACTAAAGAGATACCTGAAACCAAAATTTAGAATAGGAATGCTTTTTAAACAAATTAGTGTATCATTTTGTTCGCAGCCCGTCATTTCGGGAACGTCCGTCATAGACGAGAACGTTCCCGAAATGACCAATCTCAAAATGACTATTCGATAAATCATTACATGTCACGCTTGACGCTGCCATTTTGGATATTGGTTTTGGAAGTTAAGAACAAGTGAGCTGTAATATTTATCATTATTATGAAAGAAGTATGCAAATTTGCGAAAAACTTATCATCAAACAGCATTCCCGTAGTGACAAGGAATTAAAGTACGTTAAATACATAGCAAATTTAACAGTACTTAGCAACAAAATCAATTATTTTTTTCCGTAAACACGACACACTCCGTTTTCTTCGTATAGTGAACTTCACGTTGCTGCTCGCTAACGCCACTTATTGTTTGTTAATAATAATAATAAATGGCCTTTATTTTACCTGGCGGGTTACATCAGCACAAGCTGTTTTTCAGAACCAACCAGGGCTAAAAAAAATTCAAGTACATACATGCAAATACAAAAAAAATACACTAAAGATAATAAGAAAATTTAAAGCAGAAAAAAATTTTTCACAGAATCGTAGCCTATGCATGGTATAATGACCAAAAGACCAAAAGAGAAACGTGCATCAACAGAGTACGTAGCAGAATCAAAAACCATGCTTAGAAGTAACTTTAAAAAAAGAAAATATTAGGTATATGGCGGAAGATATAAAAATTAAAAGTAAACAGTAACAAATTCGTAAACAAAACACAAACAAATGAAAAGTGACAAGTGAGAAAACATGCACAAATAAACAAATATACAAATAAAATTACATAAAAATACATGCTACATGTCATCAAAGACAAAGAGCCTAACTTTTCTTTTAAAGCTGGACACAGATAGAGTTTTCAAAGCTTGAGGTACTTTATTGTAGAAATCGGGCGCCACATATGAAAAGCTCTTTCTGAATTGGGTTGTTCGGTGCCGAGGCAAGTCAAGAGTATATCCTACAAAACGCAGGTTCGCTGAGTGATCTCATGGTAAGCTTGTTCTTCAAATAAAGAGGCATTTTATTTATCAGAATACTGTGGACCAATGATAATAGATGCAGTATCCACCTTTGACGCATAGTAAGTCATTGAATATTTTTAATATGATCAGATACCCTCTCCCGCCTTTGAATACCTAAACTGAATCTTATGCAGCTGTTTTGCACTTTTTGAAGTCTGTATGCCTCGCTCTGTATTAGACATGGACCATAGACAAGGTCCCCGTATTCAAGTTTACTTAGGATAAGGGAGTCACACAGCTTAACCTTGGTCTGCTTGGACAATACATTTTTATAGCTATAAATTGACTTCAACTTAGCATAGGAACCCTGAACAGCTTTGGTGATATGATCATGGAAGCACAGGTTCTCATCAAATGTGATGCCCAAGTTGCGAACCGATGTCTTGTGGCAAAGTTCATCACCTCCAATACACAGCTTTATTAATTCACTATTGAATTTGCTGAATTTAGATTTAATAGTTATGATCCGCCGACTTTTTAGGTTTAATACATAAGCCATGTTTGTTATACCACACACCTATACTATTTAAATCCTCAGACAGCATCTCATTCGCTTCAGTGTACATAGCAGGGTTGTAAGATAGATAAATCTGTGTATCATCGGCGTAGGTATGTAATTTGCAGTATTTAGTGACTTGATCTAAGTCCGCTACACAAAGAGAAAACAGAATAGGTCCAAGAATAGACCCCTGTGGTATACCTTTGGAGATAGTACCCTTCTGTGATAAGATGTCACCGATTTTTACCTGCTGAATGCGTTCATGAAAATAACTGCGAAACCAATTAATCGAACTATCGGAGAAGCCAAGATAATGAAATTTTGCAAAAAGTAGTTCATGGTTGAGGCAATCAAAGGCATTACTTAGATCTATCATGACAGCAGTAGTAACTTTAGAATTATCTATTGCCTCTATGAAGTCGTCAAAGACATCGAGCAGAGTTGTTACGGTGCTGTGGTTTCTTCGAAACCAAGACTGCGTAGATGGAATTATCTTAAAGGTAGTGACGTGCTGCATCAATTTCTCATATACAATTTTTTCTAGTAGTTTGGAAGGATACTAATTGGTCTATAATCATCAGGTCCTTCCGGAGCATCAATTTTAGCAAGAGGCCTAACGCATGCGGCTTTCCAAATTTTAGGAACTAACCCTTTTTCAAGTTAGTCAATTATATGAGTAATCGCTTTAGAACAAAAAGGAAACACTACAGCTAACATATTTATATTCAAACCATCTAGTCCAACCGCCCGAGATTTTATTTCATTGAAAATCTGTAATATTTTATTTGTTATTTTAATTACATCGACCAACCGCAACTGCGTTCACGGAATGATTGGATAAATGTCAGACAGCATTTGAATAGCCAAAATATGACGAAATTAAAATGATATGAATCTAATTTATAGATATGTTCTTGATTTAATGCTTTTCGAAGCTAATATAAAGATATGGCATTTTTAGTTCTTAATTTTAAACATTTTTGACTTGTCTGAACTGTGAAACATGATATAAAGACGCGCTCCCGAAATGGCTACTCGGGCCTGTTTTTTTTAAAATCGAGTAAAACATTATTATGGAAAATAAATATGCTAAGTGCCTGGTAATTATGCACAGTACCTACATTTTGGAATAAATAAGGTACATTCGGGTAATATAGCCCAGGCATAAATAAGGACCACTGCTCATATATTTTTCTGTAGTGACATCTGTTGATGCAAAGATTCATTATTTTAAAGTTCAGTCATGTCGGTAAATGAGGTTTAATTTATAGTTCAGAATTACGCGCTCTTTCTGCACGTAAGCCGCTTCTGTTCCTTAGGAGTTGATACATTATTATTTTGGTGAAAGTTGAAAGTGAAATATTGCAGTTAAAGGTAAGTGCTTACGTTCAATAGAAACAGTAGTCCTTAACCTTCGTAGAAATTGTGAATTTGCCAAATTACACAAATGTAACCTAAAATATGAATCTTGTACATAGGCAGAAATACGGCCAAATTTCTGCAGGGCGGTGGGCCATATTTTTGACCATTTCATCCTTCTATCCTAATTCAGTTTTTTTGTTTTTCAGGTCGAAAATCGGGAAATTATGTAGGGGAGTTTGAGGAAATTGGACTCAAGATATGATGTCAGAGGCACTACAACTTCATAGGAGCGGTAAAAGCCAACGATACGTGGAGCAAAAATGCGGAATTCCTAGAACTACGTTACGGAATCATATAAAATCTGGATAGAACATTAGGTTGTAAACCTTTACTTACTTTCGAACAAGAGGGAGAGTTGGAAGCTCGCATTTTAAAGCTCTCTTGTTTAGGACTATTCTACCACTCAGTCCAAAATCCGTGCGAAGAAGTGTCTACCAGTTTTGAGGAAGCGGAAGAGGAAAGCTCAATCCATGAATGCTGCGAGGGCTCAAAAGTTAAATCCCGTTATTGTGAGAGACCACTTTGATAAATTGTTGAAAGTCCTTAACGAATTAAGCATTCGAAATTCACCACAACGGATATTTAATCTTGATGAAAAAGGGTGCCGCCTAACTTTAGATCATTCTCAGTTAGTCTTGGCATCCAAAGAGGAACGCAGGGTCTACAATATCTGCAATGAACATGCAGAGAATGCAACAATTGTTGCTTGTGTTAACGCTCTTGGGCAAGCTGTGCCGCCTATGTTAATATTCAAAGGTTTGCGGAAAAAGGACTCTTACAGCGACAATTTGCCTTCTGGGTCGATACTTGAAATGTCTCCTAAAGGCAGCATGACACGAGAAATATTTCTTAAATGGTTGCGGCATTTGTCAAAGTATAAACCTGCTGGTAAGGTTCTTCTGATTTTGGATGGTGCCTCCTGACATTTAGATATGGAAGCAGCTGAACAACATGACTTTTCGCTTTACTGTTTACCGTGATAAGGCGGTTTTTCGTAGTTTCGAGCATTATTGTGATATTGAGTTGATGAAATACTGGGAGAGTAATCCTGCTGCAATGAGAGTATTAAAAAAGGAGAGATTTGGACTTGTTTTTACCAAAGTTTGGCAACAAGCAATGAAAATACGCAACACTCAAAGTGGCTTCAGGTCAACAGGAATTTTTCACTTCGACCCGGATGTTATTCCAGAGGCTGCTTTTGCTCCATCTACCTTGACACATAAATACATTCCTGAAATGATGGATGCTGAACCGGAAAATTATAGTAGCTCAGATGATGATCTGCCACTTGCAAAGTTCCTTAAGAATAATAATCCATCAACAAGTATGAAAATAGAGGAAAAATCGAGTGCTGGTTGTTTTCACTGGACTGATCAACAAGCGTCTGCTATTACGTCTGATACGAATAAAAAAATTAATATTTTAAATCTAACTATTATCAAGACTAAAATGCATTACTTTTAATTTCTCAGATATCCTGGAAACGCCTGTAATGGGAACAGTGAAAGCAAGACAAAAAAGGAAGGCATTAAATTATAAAGCGCAGCTGTTAAAAAGAGAGATATTTACCGAACACTCATCTCAAGCAAATTCAACGAAGTCGTCAAAAAGCCGAAAGAAAATTGGCTATGTGGTGTGTGCAATGAGGATTCTGTAAGTGATATGCGACAGTGCGCCAGTTGCCTATTGTGGATCCATGAAATATGCGTTGGATTGACTGCCGAGGACGCAGAAGTGTTTTATTCGAGGGCCATATTTCAGCGAAAGCCAGAAATATGGCCCAAATAACACATTCTCGTTTTTGCTGTTTTTTCCATATTTCTGATTTTTTTGATGTTTTTGGATAAAATTTTATTTGCTTTATAGTTCTTCTACACGTTGCGAATAAAAATATTTTTTTTAGTTGTCGGCATTTATTTTTTATTGCTCTCGGACTGAAACTGATCTATATTACCCGACTGTACCTTATTGTAGTAATATCATGTTATTTTATTAGGAAAAACTTTGTCAGAAACATAATGCTCACCTCTCTGATTTTGACCCTTATGACTTGGTGTGTTAAGAGAAGCGGTAAAAACTTAATTTAGAGCTTTTTCATTTTCTGATATGAAATGGTCTCGGTCCATACTACCTACCATTTCACCATGTCCGTTTAAGTACGGAACACCCTGTACTGTCGCGCGAGCGTTCACGTGCATACTTTAACAGGATATTTTCAGTAGATCACGAATACATTGTTGCATAATTATTGCAATTTTTGAAATAAGATCTTATGGAATGGTTGCCATAAGACGCTCACACCGAGATATTCAAAATTTGTTACTATATCCACAACTGCAGGAATTTCAGGTATTCGATGACAATTAAATACTGGACTTAAAACTCATTTTTGATGACTACTTATGCCCAAATACCTTTTGTAAATATGGAAAGCAGATTATCTAATCTAATTTAATAATCTGAATGGTTACGGCTTCAAGAGCCTTGTTGTATGTAAATTAACACCAAATTAAAAAGATGTATTCCTTGCAATAAATTTTCTGATGCATATTCACACATAAGCATAGAGATTAACATAATTAACTCTGCTTTGGACATTTACAAATTTAAATAAACGCAATATAACAATTTGGGAAGATATTTATGTGTTCTACTAGAAACCTCGACGAATCAGGACCAACATCTGATACTTTCAAGGAAACTGTAGAGGATTCATGCAAGTTAAGAGGTAGCTATTTGTAAAATATGTAGAAGTAATTCCAATAATTCATATGTGACTCCAACTCAGCTGGTTACAGTATGCAGGTAAATTAGGTCTTAAATAGAATCATATAGAATTAGAAATGAATATTGCTTAGTAGGGGTACATACCGGGTATTTCAAATTCGACCCTCACCATGGGGATCTCGGAAACGGTAAGAAATACGAAGTCAAGTGGGGGCAAAGTTGCGTGTTTAGATCACTAACTTAGAAGCTCAGAAAGTTTCGTAATAGAAAAAAATTCTCTAAATTATTTTATAAAGAAAATGAATTTCCTAGGTAGGCCTTGAAACTATCAGCACGTCGTTTGTCTCGTATACCAGATTTATCCCAAAATTATTTAAATTTTTTGCTTAACTTTATTTGAGATGGGATGTCAAACTAAATTGCATGTTGTAATTGCCGCCTTTTCTCATCTGCAAGATGGCGTAGTCAAACTTTCAAATCCAGGTGTTTTCTTTCGACTTCCATCAACAACTTTGTTTTTTTCATATGAACGCTATATTGGAATTTTGTATATTTAAATGGAGTTTTCAGTCTCAAATTCAGTAATGGATTTCCTCAGTTGACCATGAATTTGTTGGAAAGAAAATTTTAAGGAATTAAAAGGGTATGGTGGAATCTGAACACAAAATGAAAATTTTATTGGTGGCGATAACAATAATAATCATAAATAAGCAGAGATAAATGACAGCAGTACATGTTTTTTTCAATAACTATATAATCATATATCATACATTTTGGAATCAGAATTAAAAACTCTATTAATTAAAAATCCAGTATGGCGTCTGTGAGAAAAAATAAAGTTGATGCTTGATGTATTTTGTAGAGGAGAAAAATAAAACACAACACATGTCAGTTATTTTGAAATCTCACTATGAAAGAAGAATTTAAAATGATTTTGGGAAAATTCGTTTTTTTCCGTCTCTCTCCCAAAGTAGTTTGAATTTCGTAACTTTTTAAGCGACATTTTGCGACTTCGTATCTCTAGCCGTTTCCGAGATCCCAATGGTGACGGTAGAATTTGAAACTCCCTGTATACTTAAGTGCGCCCCTGTAAATTCAATGCCGAATTTAATTCTCAAACTTCCATCACCCTTATTATTCTCTAAAAAACTTTGTCGTTTTCAACAGAAACTCGAATAACTAAAACCGGGCTTAGCAAATAATTATTGATAATACAAACGTTGGCTTTTAATTTATCACATAAACCGAAAGTACGTAGGAAAATCTATTATAGACCTATAACAGTCACCGGCCTTTTCAAATTTTACAATGATATGGAATTAACACCTTTCGAATTTGTTAATGGAAAAAGTACGAAAATCGAATATAAAGTCGAAAAATTCATATCTATTGTCAGAAATTCGGTCAATCAACATATTCCTATCAAATCGCGACTTGCTAATGATACTAAAAGCTACTGTAATGTGTATCGGTTGAATGATCATATAAGAAATATGAGAGAGACTTTGTCTTTCCTAACAGAGCTTCATAAAGACGATGCTACTTTAGTTACTACGGACGGAAAAATTTAAATACAGTTACAGACAAGAAATTGCCAAAGCTAAGATTAAAGCCAATGATGTCTACATCAATAAATCCAACAACAGACAACATGCTGCCTGGAATATCATAAAGAACGTTAAACCGAACGCACACAACCAGGACTTCTCAACATCTCTCACCGCACATCAATTCAACGACTCTTTTACCCATATCCCACAAAAACTTTTAAATAAAATTACCCGATGTTACTCCATCGCATTATATGAATCATTCTACTCATAGTTCACACTTTCAATTCATGGAAGTTGCTAATCATGATGTGAGAACAGCCTTAAATAAACTAAAAAAACTCAAAGAGTACTGACCCATATGGCTTTACTGACAGGATTGTCAAAACCTTGCAAAATCTCATCATATATCATCTAACCAAGTTATTCAATCAGTGTATAGAAAGTAATACTTTTCCGGATTTTCTCAAACTATCTAAAATTATACCCATTTTCAAACAAGGGAATACTGAAGGTCCATTTCCTTAATACCTATTTTTGCGAAAATTTTGGAATTATTGTTGAAAGATCAAATTAATATTAATATATATATATATATATATATATATATATATATACCTATATAGGTGAAAAATTAAAGCTTCCGCCTTTTGTTGGGTACTTCGACAAGATTTAAGCAAAGAGGACTCTTTATACTTTTTTTAATTCTCTCTAGCTTTCAATGGACTTTGCCATCATCATCAGGAGCTGCAATTACAATGATAACAGTAGCAACAAAGGTGTAAAATGAATTTAAATTGACTCAACTTACAGTAGTATGTGAGGATGTTGCTAATTGTTGTTTACGTATAGGATGAGGGAAACGTCCAGTAACATGGTGAGAGCTGAATAGATTGCACAATAGTCAAAATTTATACAAAACATGACAAGAACAAGTTAAAAACAGATTAAAAATTATTTAAAAAATTAGAACATTACATCGTGTAACCACCTGATGATTGCACAAATTAGTGGTCATGGAATGATGAATTGATGAGTGACATGAAACCCTTTGACAGAAGGCCGAAGGATGTCAATGTCAGTATTGAAAGATGGAACGAATTGTGGGCGTGTGCCAAACCGTTGCCAAATCACGTCAGATGATGAGATTTTCAGAATTTTATGTTAGAATTTGTTAAACCGACCAGAGGCAGTTGAATAAACTATATTATTATTAATGGGAATTTAAATTAACAATTATTAATAAATCGTGAGGAGAGAATTATTATATTTTGAGTGGAATGAAATTTACTGGTGGAAACGGCCAAAACACAGATTCTAATTATGGTTGTGAAGAGTTGAAATTTGGGGAGATATGTAAGTTCTCCAATTTTTCGCAGTTTAGCAAATATGAGTAAATGACACTCAGTTGTTTAACATCTGTCTTTTTGTTGATACAGTTGTTATTCATGAAAATGTGGGACATTTCCAGGAATAAACGTTTGGAAAGGTGTTTTTCTTTATCAAGAACTTTGATACTTGTGTAATTCATAGAATGCCCTGTTGTGTTAACATGAGATGCTAGAGCGCATCTTTCAGGATGAAGCCTAGCATCACTTTTGTGTGATGTAATCCTTCCTTTAAGAGATCTGGAGGTCTGACCTATGAATATTTGGTTGCAGTTGTTGCAATTGATGGAGTAGACTGTGTTGGTTAAGCCAAGCAGCGGGACTTTGTCTTTCATTTTTGAAAAAATGCAGTTTATAGTGAGGACGGATTTGCAAGCAATTCGAAAGTTCAAAGGACTGCACAATCTGATCAGCTTAGGGGTCAGTTCCTTGATGTAGGGCAGGACAGCAAAACCAGGTCTGGAGTCCGGGTTGGTGCTAGTACTGTTAGGATTGATGTTATTATTGGGAATTACATCAGTTCCGTTATTAGGGGTTGTGCGACTATTACCTGCATCACCAGAGTTCGGCAAAATATTGGAAGGTGAACTAAAAATGATCTTGTTAATCAGACACTTCGGATAACCATTATTGATGAACAGTTTTGATAGTTTACGTAAATTTGAGGTGTGGAAGGTATTATCTGAGATGCTGATTACCCTTGTTTTCATCTGTTTTACCAAATTGATTTTAATCCCTAGCTTATGGTATGACCTAAAATTGAGAAACCGACCTGAGGCCATAGGTTTCTGGTACCAGTCTACCAATTTTGGCGGAATATGTCATGGATGATCTGCTTGATACTGTTATTCCGACACTACCCTATAACCTCTTCTTCATAAAAAAATACGTAGATGACATTATTTTATGCCTCCCTTCCATAGGTTTGGATGGTATTGTCAGAGAATTCAACAGCTATGACCCCTACATCCAATTTACCATTGAAAAA